TGGTTCACTTTTCACATTTGTTGTCCCCGAATTATGCTGTGGTTGTTGTTGTTGCTGTTGCTGTTGCTGTTGTTGTTGTTGTTGTTGTTGCTGCTGCTGTTGCGGTTGTTGCTCGGTTCGAACGCGTTTTCGACTTCCTGGGCCTTCATTCTGGGTACTTGAACCACCATCACTAGCTGCTGAACTGATCACATTGCTGTACGGATCGATCTGATAGCCGTTGCTCTGGATCAGATAACCACCGCTATTCACCTGTCGCATATTAACGGTTGGTGGCGAAACCTGCAAAAAACTCCAGGAATGGCATAACAATCCTCCTAAATATATGAAAACACAAGCTCTCCAATGCTATGCAATAAGCAGTACCCTAAAATGGTTCTAACCCAACAAGTTTCTCAGCAGAATACTGACAGAGCAATCAATCTTTCATCAGATTTAATTTCTTGTAGCTTACAAAAGCTCTGGTTCCATTCGATTCAGTCGGTATTTGGCAGAGAAAAGAATTTCTGTGCGACAAGACAGAGTCGAAAACTATTTTTTTGGCTCGCAAAATCTTAGGAAGAAATTATCAACGATCTGCCTGCTGTTTTCTAACTATTCTTTTTTTTCAGTACCAACAGAATAACAGAACTCCTTGGTGAACAGCAGCCCAGAGGGCAAACTGAATTCCGAAGTAATTACAGCAAGTTCGTTAACGCTCATGCAAATGGGAGACAAATCCCCATCATTAGTAAAATACCATAACCTTTCGATGGAAACCGATGACGGCACAAAATTATTTCTCACAACCTGAGCAAATGCAACTTTCAAAACTTTCCAGAGTATCAGTTTTTGAAAGCGATACTTTCCAATTCCACACAGTGGAAGCGTGCTGGGCCTATAACCCAAAAGTCGGTGGAACGAAACCACCCGCTGTCACCAAAAAACTTCTGATTCTGGTACCGCATTTGAATGTATCTATGATCGACGGAAGCAGTGTGGATGTTAGGCTGAGCCAGGAACGAAAGATACTCTATAGTATGGGGCATTGACACTTAACAGAATGGGTAATCGACGAATCACCAGTACTGGTATGAATCGATCGGTTGATGAAAGGCACTCAGACGGTAGTCACTCACTGAATACCACCGTTACTACGAAAATTAGTGGTAACCCACAAGCTGTGGAACGATGAATGATTGCATGCTAAGACACTGTAGCTCATTTTTGTCGCGGATTACAGTTCAAGTCCGACGCGTTCGAAGTAGTTAAAGCAATGTAAGGGAAAAATAAAAATAATAGGATTAGCTGAAATTTTCAATAAACAACTTGAAATAAAAAGAACCTGTGGTAACGCGGATGGTGTCGATTGTGGTGGGTAGCCGCTTCCAGCACTGATAAAATCGGATTGCGGTGACGGTAGAGCATGTTGCAGGATGCGACTGCCCAGATGGTTCTGCTGGAGGAGCTCTTGCGGTACCAGCATGTGCGTTGCCAGATCAGGACGTACACCAAGAATCAAACCATTTCCGCTCGCCTGGTTACTGGGCACCACTGCAAAATTTTATACCATAAAAAATCCGCACAGAATTATTACGATCATAAAAAAGAGGCAACGGAGACAAAGGAGACAGGAAGGAAGGGGAAGGATGGGACGGAAGGGATGGCGCAAGGATGGGGAGGAAAGATGAGGGAGAAGGAGACGTAAGAAAGACGGAAAAATGGTTTACTCTCCTTTGAAAAAATGTATAAGAGACCTCCAATTTTTTTTTTCAAATTTTTATTTTTTTTTTAAAAAAAAACTGGAGGTCTCTCATATATTTCCCAACATTTCTATCGCAATTTGAACGACTTCCCTGTTAGTGGTAATTAGCAAATAAGTTTATTAAAGAAGTGTTGCTGCCATTCGGGCATTTTGACATGCTACTGCCTTTCTTTCACGCACAGGGTTAAAATGGGAGTTTTCAAATTTTGAATTTGGTAGAAAAAACAAACAGCTTTTCGCGCCAGGTAAACATAGGCTTGTTATGCAGATTTGCACCTGGCATCATAAGATAAGAAAATTTCAGCCTCCTAGCTTATCTGTTCCTGAATTGAAGAGGTGCTCGCAGCCATACTGTTTTTCAGAAATCACTCCTCTACAAAACCATTTTTAGTGTGTAACCTTACGTGAAAAGTACGAGAATGTGGTCAGTCATCTTGCATTTATTATCCATACATATGTGGATCAACTAAACAGCCAAAATTCCCAAAAGCTTCGTAGCTTTTGTGGAACTTGAGAACGA